ACAAGAAGGTTAAGGTGGCAATGTACCCAAATATGGCTAAAAATCGTCATTTTGGGTTTTTATGTGTAATTATTGAATAAATCTACCATTCAATTACTAGTACGAGAAAAGTGCGATAGTGTTTTGAATATTCGTGGGATTTGGCAGGAATCGCACAAATATTGTCAGGAATTCATACTATTTTTTGGAATCAGGAGTTCGTGGCCAAAATCTTGAACAGCTCAAAATTTTTGCCATGAATTCCCGATTGATCAAGAATTGCAAGAACTGACTACGATTATATACGAATCTGCTAAGAACTTCACGAACTGATTACGATTCAACCATGAATCCTGAAATTTGTCAATTCCTGGCAATTCATGGGATTCGTGGTCTATGTGAAATAGGGGCATAACATGACTGTGTTTTCGAACCATTTTTCGCTTGGCGAATGTGGACAAGACTGCCTGCGATGCTGCTATTGTGTGCACATCCTAGAGCGCATCCCTAACACTTGTCCCGATGTCAATTGAGGTGATTGGTTGAGTGGTTAGAGCTTACTTGATTGCCTGTCATTCTTCTGGCAGTGCTAGTGTTAACTCCTTGAAGATACTAACAGGAGGTGAGATTGATACAAACTTAAGATTTTCTGACATCCAAATGCATGTAAACAAGCTAATTTCATCCGGCAATAGAGTACCATCTTCGCGATCGTCAGAACGATAACAGGTAAAGCTGTCAACAATTTAATTTGCTATTTTGGACAATTAACCTCCCCGAAAGGGTTTTTGCTCGTTTTCTCCGCTTTCAAGATTGACGAGATAGTGTTATCGGATCGAGCTATAACTGTCTACCTGTACACCTGAGTGAGACCAAATTCACCATGCTAATTAAGAAAAGTATGCACTAAAAGTGCTTTTTAAGAAATTTTGGTTGGTCCTCTCTTTTCCAATTTATTGACTTTGAAAGTGAAAATTCCTCAATATTTTGATGTAATTTCACGTTTTTATAGATAAAATCAACAATAAGTCTCTAAAGAAAAATCCCTGACTCCATTTTGTAGTTCTTTGTTCAAGTGTTATAATACCATTAAAAGCATGTTTATAGCTGTCCAGGTGCCTGAGAAAATCAGGTGTTTAAAAGTGGTGTTTTTGTCCCCAAAATCCCAATATTAAATCACACGATGAAGTTGAAGCTGTGTTCCAAGCATAATTAGATGTTTTGAAGATACATTAAATGAATATGACAGGAATTAAAAAGCTACGACCTTTATTTTAAGAGAAAATCTATAACCAACATTGCCACCTTAAGAAGGTTTATAAACCAAGGATTGTATTTTGGATGGAACATTTTAACCAAAAGGAATCTATTCTGAAGGGGAGGAACAGTGGGGGGGGGGGGGGGGGGGGGGGGG